TAATGTATTTTAATATTTTGATTAACAAATTGTGTTATTTAATTGAGTTTAAATTGATTTTATTGAATTTTGTTTAAACTATATATTTTGGTATATTAATTTAAAATATAAATGGAAGGTATTATCAAATAAGTTGTGGAACAATAATAGAGTTATTAGGTTGTGGATGCTCTAAGAAAATAATAAATAACTCGTTATTGTTACAAGAGTATCTATAATACTTAACTTATAGGATAACTCTTATTATGCTCTATTTGTTGCACATCAAAAGTTTACACAAATTGTTAAATTTAAAGAAGATATAAAAAATATTAATAATGTGCATTAATTGAATCATAAAAGGATTTGAAATTGTGATAACTTAACCATTTTTATTAATACTCTTATTTATGTGATAACAATATTTTATCATGTAAGGTCTAGTTGAATAAGGTCGTGTTAGATCCCAAAATGACCAAAAGGTCTATAGTTCGATTTCTGTGAGTGACACTTACAGTCACGCACCCCGAAAGTGATTAGTTTCATGCCCCAAATGATGAGGAGATACTCTTGATAATACCAAAAGAATATTTCATTATATATGTACAGAAATAAATACCTTGCGAGTGGATATCGGAGCAGTGAAGAATTGGAATCGCAAGGCTTTATTTGGTAGTGTGATTTTAGAGAAGAAGGGAAGGGTAGGAATGACTTTAGAAAGTCTTTCCCTTGTTTAGGAGTTGGATGAAGGAGATGGGAAGGTTTCGGAGGGTTTCTTAAACCCTCCCAAACTATTCATGTGATTATTTTTATAGTTCCCTTAATTTGTGGTTTTTCTGGAGACAAAATGTAAAAATACCTAAATATTTTTAGTAAAAATTATATAATTATATATTATTGTCTATTTCTTATTTTTAATTACATTTTTAAAGGGGAAATAAAAAATATTCTAACATTATTATTAGTTTATCTTCTCAATCTAAATTTCATACTCTCAAACAATATAATGGAGATGATCGTCGTCTCCCTTTCCTCTTCTTTTCCTCTCCTTCCTAGCCCTTTGATCTTCTCCTTCATTTTCCCTCATAACTCCCAAACATACAGTAAGGGGTTTGGAGTATTTGCACACATATGATCCTCCATTGGTACATAGAGACCTCAGATGAGATAATGTCTTCGTTACTAATCATCTTGGGCAGGTCAAAATTCGTGACATGGGCCTTGCAGCAATTCTTCGTGGGCCCCAACATGCCCTCAGTGTAATAAGCATTTCCTCTTGGTCTTTTAGTTGGTAGATAATTTATTCAAAATGATGCATGTACAAAATTTTGAAACGCTACTTTTTAACTTGTCAACCATGTACACATCTCTGATTAATATCATGTAAAACTTTCTTGTTAACCACAAACTTCGTACATACCAAGAGTAAAAATAGTATACAAAAATGACGGTCGCGAATAACAAAATTGTTATTAGCAATGCATATTTTAGGTTTGGTTCGATCATGTAGGCAATTTCACTTGAAGAGATTGAGGTTTGGATCAATTTTGTAGACATGTCTGCTTAAATTAAGGTTTTGTTGCTGTTGTATTAGTGATGAGTAATTTAGAAATACTCATGTGTTTATAAAGCTGAAATTTTATGTAGGGAGCTTTCAGGATCACCATAATGTATGGCACCTGAATTTTATGAAGAGAAATACTCGTTTGGGAGGTGTGTGAAAGAGTTGTTTCCTTCTGAATTCCCATACTGTAAGTAGCTCAAGTAAGTTTAAGTTACTACACTAATTTAAGTAAATTTTATGTCATATTTTCACGCCTATTGAAATATATAGTTAGAGCACTGTCATATATATGCAAGTGACTATTATCTAAACGTTTCAAGTTTATGGCACAAAATACTTTATAGTAAAAAGTATTCATACTTCATGCTATAGGTTGAGTATGAGAAAAGTATTTCAAAATATTTATCAGTAGCACTAATATAATACTCCTATAATGGCATCAGTGTTCATTAATTAAACTATACTAGTTCATTCAATAGTTTACTAATTAAATCCAATATACGTATTAAGTTATTTATATTATAATAAATATAAATATTTGTTCTTGCTACATATAATTCAGTTATTTAAATTGTTCCACTATTGAATTTGTCACCGACAACTACTAGGTTCAATGTTTAAATCATAATATGTCATTTTGAAAAATATAAAATACTTTCATACACACATTAGTTTTAACCGGTTTAACTAATTGTGGTACAGATTTATTAATTAAATCTTATGATACTTATAAGTATGATTTTTTTTGAGTTAGGATCAATGTTGTGAAACCCGAGACGGACGTCAAGCCAGAAGAGCTTCCGTATTATGATTAACCGGTTTCAACAGTTAAGTCGTCCGGTCGGACCGGATGATTTTAAATATTATTAATAATTTTGATTCATAAATATATAATTATATATAAATGTAAAATTTTACATAATTAGATTTTTTTTATAACTATATTGAAGTAACATATCTCTATCTTTTGGACCGAAATAAAACAGAATGTTGGAGTAATGTTCCATTTTTAAAAAAAAATTGAAGTTAACCGTCCTGTTTTCCCCGGATATTTTGGTTTAACCGGGTTTAGCACACACTACGCCGGATATATAAATCAACAGCGCGCAATTTCGGGGATAAAACGGCGCTTTCGGTTGCTGTCTATGTGAGTACAGTAGTATATGGTATGTTTTAACGGCGCTTGTGTGGACGCTGTTGTATGTCATATATACAATAGCGTCACCTCCAACAAGAGTTGTTATATATGTACATGACTTTTAACCGCGTTCATCACGAGTGCGGTTGATATGTCACCTTTAACAGCACTCATTTAACCGCACTCATATTAAATAAAACAAAATCTCTTTCAGACATTTTATCAAACACATAAGAAGTTTCAATATAATAAGAATGAAATCAAACTATTGCATGAATATGTCTCTGTTAACCATGTGTAGTAATGAAAATGACGAATATGATGAAGATGTAGAAGACAAATCCATGATTTTCTTCTCTCTCTTAACCGATGAAATAAGAGGACATAAAGATACGGTCAAATTCAATATAATAAGAATGAAATACAAAATTACATAGAAAATATGGATGAAAAAATAATAACTAAATACAAGAAATACATACCTGTATTTCAAGTTTGGTAAAGCAACAATAACTTTACATAAATTCAACATTGACATTCTCTGTAATATAAAATAAGTAGTTAACGTAGATGTAAATGCAAGAAGAAAAAATGAATCAAAGAAAATGATTCACCTTATGCTCGAATAAAGAAAAACATGAGCTAATAACTTGTTCGAAAAGAGAAACTAAGAGAAGAATAGTAAGAGCTGAATGATATGTGTATTATTGTGTATGATGTTTTGTTTTTAAATCTGCAAAGATTCGCACCTACTAAACAAAATGTATGACTTTTAACAGCACTATCTAAAAATACGCTGTTAAATGTGTGACTTTTCAGCTACTCTAACATTATCAAAACACATTAACTATAAAACTTGTAAAATAAAAAAGAAATAGTAAAAATATTTTTTTTTTAATTTCAGGGTGCACCTTTCTAATGTAGTGAGAAAATTTGGATAGAATGAATTTTTCTACCCTAAATATATATATAATATGTCCAATTCTGATTAGTGATTCAAAAGTTATGTCAAAAATAGTGATATAGCATCTTTAACAGCGCTTGTTCAAATCAGCGCTGTTAAATGTGTCATATCAACAACACTTGCATAAATAAGCGTGGTTAAATGTGTCATATCAATATCGCTTGGGTAAATAAATGTTGTTAAAGATGTCATATCAACCGCACTTGCATAAATAAATGTTGTTAAAGGTGTTGTATCACTATTTTTTACATAACTTTTGAACTACTAATTAAAAATAAACATCTTATATATGCATTTCGGGTAGAAAAATTCATTCTATCCAAAATTTCTCACTAAATTAGAAAAGTTCACCCTGAAATTCCAAAAAAAAAACATTTTTTACTATTTCTTTTTTATTTTACAAGTTTTATAGTGAATGTGGTTTGGTAATGTTAGAGTAGCAACATCACATATTGTAGCAAGCGTTGTATAAGATAACAAATCAACAGCGAAAATTGAAGAATGCGCTGTAGAAGATATCTCATCAACAACGTAAACAAAAGGAGACGATGCTTAATATATTCCTATTAACAGCACAACAGAAAGGAGCGGTGTTAAAGAGCGCACATTCGCAGTTACGCTGTTGATGTTATATCCGCCTATTAATATTAACAACGATTTCTTAAAGATGCGTTATCCATTTTCTCCCGCCTCGAATTTAACAGCATTATTCTAGGATGCGCTGTTGAAAAAACCACTTTTAAAGACGTTTTCTGGCGTAGTGACGGTCGAATTGGAATTTCTCCGGTTCAAAGCGGTTCTAACTACTCATTCGGATAAAACTAAAAAACGAAATCATTTTTAAGTCCGGTCAGCGATCAAATCGGTCGGACCGTCTGGTCCGGTCCGTTTATCAACACCGGTTAGAATCCATTAATACTATGTTCCAAAGTTTATAATTACACCAAATCATATCCCTTCATCTACTATATCTATAAGAATACAAAGGGTTGTGTATTTTACAAGAATAGACATCGTCAATGATTGACACTTGGATGTTTAGAGGATATTATTGTAAAATCAATAAAATATTTAAATTATAAAACAAATGAAATTACTAAAAGACATAGCCTCATGTGTTTCAAAAGCAAGTATAATTGGAATTTTCGTTGGAATTTGCACTCTGACAATGAATTAAATATTTAGCTATACCACACGGTTCCTCTTTCAAAAGCATTTGCTGTACCACAAAGTTCCTCTTTCAAAAGCAGGGTATAATGAATTAAGGTTCCACAAAGTTCATCTTTCCTCTTTTTTGCTCTCACATCTTCATCTATCTCAAGGTTCCAAGCAATATTTACTCCATCTTTACTTTTGTTTTGTTCTCATCTTCATAACCTCAAGGTTTCTTTTCAATCTTTCTGCATTTTTTATTATTTTCGATCTTCATTTTTTCGGTATTTTTTTTTTTTGCATTTTCTGCATTTCTTCCTTATCATTGTTTCAATCTTTACTCATTTGTTTCAATCTTCGCTCACTTACTGTTTTTGTGATTTTACACTTCAATGCAGATATGGGTTTTGTCCAGAGAAAATTCTCCCTTTTCCTTTATTTGTTATTGTCCAGAAAAATTTCTCCATTTTCTCTCTTCACTCACTTAACATTTGCATTTCAATGTTATATTTCAGATCTGGAATAATTAATTTCATGCTTAAATTTTCAGGTATTTTTTCATACAACATCGTAAGGTAAAGTTTGCCCCTTTCACCTTAACAGATATGGAATAAAGTTTTCACCTTTCTATATCATACATTTTACAGTGTTTATTAATTTCGCATATCATACTTTTACGGCATTGATGGACTGTTATATGGACTGTTATAGTCATATAATTTTATATATGGACTGTTAGTCATATATAAATAAGATAGAATGTTATATATGTAATGTTTAGTAATTTTACAGTGAAACATTTTACAGTGTTTGATAAAGCATTATATATATATATATGTAGTGTTTAGTTTTACAGTGAAGCATTTTACAGTGTTTGATGAAGCTTTATATATATGTAGTGTTTAGTAATTTTACGGCCAACCATTTTATAGTGTTTAGTAATTTTGCATATCATACTAAGATAGAATGTTATATATGGATTGTTATATTCATATAATGAATTTTGGTATGATATAAGTAGTGAGTTTTATGTTCCTAATAGAGTTTTATGTTCATATAATATACTAATGAACTTTAGTCACAGTTTAATGAACTTTACATGTTTAGTAATTTTGCATATCATACTCTTATGACACATAGCACATATTGTACACTATTACAACAAATGCCTTTTTTTCAAAATCTTTAACAGATATTCTATAATTGATTTTACGTTATGTTTAATTGTTATTCCTAATGCACCACCTTATATCCAATCCATTAATAAATACATCATGTTATATTCATTTTCATGTTTCAACTAATTCACATTGTTATTGTGCTTTATTATTTCTATTAATTCATTCAATATCAATCTTCGTGTCATGAAGAATATAAATATTATTATGTCGTTACATGGATCAATTCTTTGATATATGATGTTATTAGCGCATCTAAACTAATTAGTACAATTCTCAACATAGATTGTATCTTTCATGACAACTCCTTATTTTGTCAACTATATTTTTTTTGATATATTATGTTCAACTGCGTATATAATATGTACTGCATATATAACATTAAATGTATTTGTTCCATGAAACTTATGCTCAGTTAAAAAGATAGTTGTTACATTATCACTTTAATTTTGGTTTTGTCCCTCACTTATTTGTCATACATTTTGTTCTTTAACTTATTCTACTTTGTTGGTAAACCTTAGGCGTTTTTTAATCAAAAATATTTTAATTTATAAATTATTTTATATTGTTTAAATAAATTCATAAAAAATACATTATCACTGGTGTAAATGCAATATATTCACGTGTATCAATTTTATCCGTAGAGAATTTAAAAAAAAATATAATATACTCCTCAAAGATATAATTCACATGTATCTACTTCAAATCTTTAAGCCTTTAGGAACAAATTAAAATCCTAAGGAATCAATTTGAACTTTTATAATATAACACATACAATTATACGAAACTCATGTGAGACGACCAATTTAAATGTTGACTATTTTTTAAAAGCATTCACAATTTTAGTAAGGAAAATACATTACATTACATTTATTCTCCTTAATATCCATGTTGACTTTAGATCTTGTCCATTAATTTTTGGAATGATATTCAACAACACATATTTGATACTAAAAAAGCGTGTATATCAATTGCTAATTGATTAAAGTAATATACATATGATTTCCTTTAAGTAAGAGCTTGAAATTGAGACTTATGTAGGAGAAAAATCACCACTACTAGAGCTAAGTCCATTATATTATGAATTTTCTCAACTAGAAGAATATTATTTCATATGAATGATATATGTGTTAAACAAAAAAAACTAAACAAAAATAAAAAAAAGTTGGTATGCATTTTCACTAACCTTCTATAGACTAAATTGTTTGCATGTAAGCTACACGGATAGTTTTACACAAACCATAGAGAATTAATTTGACATGTTAAGTAAACTTTATACTATCATTAGTGACTTATTATTATTAAACTTTAACCATTGATGACATTTTTTTTTTGGTAATCAACTAGCACTATACTTGTGCACGTTTCCATGTATTGCTCCATATTACTTCTATTGACGTCAAATTAGTACAGTACAAAGTCATGAAATAAAAAATAAATCAAATCGAATAATTAGAAATGATAAAATTAAATGACATGTAAAAGGTTATTGGAGGAAGAAAAAGTTTAACTCTGGAAAACTAAACATGGTGACGTTGTGAGAAATGTCGACTAAATATTAATTTGTGATCCAAAAAGTAAAATGAGTGACTAAAGAGATTAAAAAAATATTAGAAAAGTCTTACTTGTGAGTTCTCTCGTTTTTTAAAACTTACCTCTAAAAAATTAAACATAAATAAGTTGTGAGAAATATAGACAAAATGTTAATTTGCGACAAATAGTAAAATGAGTGATTGAAGAGGAAAATTTTAAAAGATCTTACCGTGAGAAGGTTGAATTTTGAGAGGAAAAATGATGATGTAAGATATGGAAGATGGAAAGAAATAATAAAAACATATCAATAAAAGATGGGAGATGAAAAGAATGAGGAAATATTTGGTAACTGCCACCCAAAGAAAACATAATAAACAAATTAAGTTCCAACATAATCAATAAAATTATGTCAAAATTATTTTATTATATTTAATGATAGAAAATAATAATGAATTAAATAAAATTGATAAGCTTTTAACACATGTTTTCCTATGCAAACTAAAAATCAAAATTGAGTGAAAATGAACAAAAAGTAAGTACCCTTAATTAGTTTTTGATATGTTGGTAATTATATCTATACTTCTATACTATATATTTATATTTATATTTATATTATCTATATCTATATTTCTATACTATTAATAATGCCAAAACCCAAAATAACTACCAACCATGGTGTAATTAATGATTTGATATTTTTCCTTCACTATATTCTAATTTATACCAAAAAAATCATATAAGCCAATGCAAATTATAATATACTCAACTGTAATTATAATATATATAACACAATTCATTTATTGCATGTAGAGCACACATTACAAAAAATAGGAAAGCGGGTTGACGAGCACGACAGTGTCAGTCAACACGCTAGTATATATAAAGGTAAAATATGATGTAACTACCACTTTGGACAAATTTCCAATTCTCTTTGTTGTCCTTCACATTTTTTAATTTCTATAAAAAATCATATAATCATTGGTTATCATCTTTAACATAATAATCACCTATCTTACCTTAAATTGAATATTATAATACAAAAATCATAACATAAAGTACACAAAATACTATTAATAAAGCCAAAACCTAAAATAACTATCAACCATGTTGTAATTAATGATTTCCTATTTTGCCCTCATTATATTCTAATTTATACCAAAAAATCATATAAATCAATGCAAATTATAATATATTCAACTGTAATTATAATAAATATAAAACAATTCTTTTATTGCATGTAGAGTACACATTACAAAAAATAGGAAAGCGGGTTGACGGACACGGCTTTGTCAGTCAACACGCTAGTATATATAAAGGTAAAATATGATGTAACTACCACTTTGGACAAATTTCCAATTCTCTTTGTTGCCCTTCACATTTTTTAATTTCTATAAAAAAACCATATAATCACTAATTATTATCTTTAACATAATAACCACATATCTTACTTTAAATTGAATATTATAATACAAAAATCATAACATAAAGTACACAATAAAAAAACATTCTAATTCTATAAAGTGAATTATATAAAAATTAAATACTTAATAAATATTTTAATATATAAAAATGTGGGACAACATGCACTTCATGCCTATCGACAAGCTAATGTTAATAACGTGGATCTAAATATATCATCTTCATAAAGAATATATAGACAATAGACTGCTATTATTTTTTATTTATTGATATTTCAAATTTTATCATGTTTTATTTACATCCTTATTTTCTTATTGAATATTTTTACATTAAAAATATCTAATAATATAAAATTTCTTATACTATCAGCTTCTTATATACATGTTAATTATAATTTAATTTTAAATAAAATTAATAAGCATTGCCAACTTCCAAAAGTAACTTTTTAAATTCCTCAATTATATCTCAAACATGCGTATAACAACTATTATATCTAAAAACAACCCATAGTAAAGATACATAGGAAAAGATGTTACCTAAAAAATAGAAAGGTCACCACGGTAAGCATATGCAATTAGACTTAATGAATGAATGAAGTGAATTTACATGGAAAGAGTAAGCACTCATCACAACCATATAGGTGACACTTTTTTTTTTGTAAATAACTATGAATGTGCATGTGTATTTGGATGGGTCACTATGTATTGCTTCTATTGAACTCAAATTAATACTATACAAAGACTTAAAATAAAAAATAACTCATATTGAATAATTTGAAATTATAAAATTGAATGATAGACAAAATGTTATTGGAGGTGGAAAAAACTTACGTGTGAAAAATTAAACATTGTAAGATAGACAAAATATTAACTTGAAACAAAAAGTAAATTAAGTGACTAAAGGGAGAGAAAACTGTTAAAAAAAGTTTTACATCTGAGTTTTTCAGTTTATGAAAAATTAAACATAAAGAAGTTGCGAGGAACGTACACAAAATAGTAAAATAAGTGATTGAATTGATATATTTTTTTGGAAAATCATTACTGGTGAGAAGTTGGAGGATGTTTGAGTGTAAAATATGATGAAATTTGAGATAGAAACATGATAATATAAGAGATGGAAGATACAAGAATAAAAATATTTGGATAAAAGATAGAAGAGGTAAAGAAAAAGGAAAAATTGTGTAAATGCAACCCAATAAAAACATAATAAACAAATAAACTTCCAATATAATTAATAAAAGTAAGTCAATTGTTTTATTACATTTAAAGATAATAAAAAATTAATAAATAAAATAAAAATGATAAGTTTTGAACCAGACCGATTTTCTTATCCAAGCTAAAAATCAAAATTGAGTCCAAAGGAACATAATGTACGTACCTCAATTTTTGGTATGTTGGTATATATATCTATACTTTTATACTATATATGTATATATAGCTAAAACAATTAGTAATTATCATGACATAATTTTTATATTCCAATTTTATCATTTTATAATCTCGCATATTAATAACTAGTAGAAATTTCCACACATTCTTTCGTTTTTCCCATCAATTCTCTTTGACATATTCTCTTACTTCTATTTTTCTCTTTTCCAAAGAAGAACACCTTTGACAACTAGAATAAAACACGAGAATGCATTCCACAATATTCTAATGATTATTTGAGGCACGTGATGAGAATTTTGCAGAAGCTTTACCCCCAAAATTAATTTTATTAATTTACTAATCTTGATAATTCTTTTGTCTCTATTTTGTTTCTATATTGCCCTTCTTATATTTAAGTTTTTTATATTAAATAAGAATGC